AGGTAAGCAAAGATCTCAGAAAGTTGTGGATAAAGCACCCTATTCCTCGTTTGAAGTCTGATATATGTGGAAGCCATTTCCAATTACATTTGATAGAGGCAGTTCTAACCAAAATGTTTTTCGAACGACGATGTGTGACGATGTTTGTTTTCCCCAAAGTACATGGTTGGATGAGCAGAAGCTTATTTCAACCATTTACCCCGTCAACTTTGAACTTCTACCCGTCGCTTAACTTTGAATATTAAGCTAGTTGCATTTTGCACTGCCCTGCATTCTTCCAACATCTTTTGCTAGTTGCTAAAGTCTTGAAAAAGGCATTCATCACTTTTTTTTCAAGAACTTTTCAAATTAACGAAAAGCATTGGAAAAGTTATGTGTTGACGAAACCAAATAATGTCGGGAACATTTTAATTAGAGTATTTCCCAATGTGAATTTTTACAAACCTTGTAGAAGGTTGTAGTTGTTTTGCGCTATTGGTTTCACTTCCATGCGCTTCCGCACTCCATTGCTTGTCTCATGACTCCCAGCATATCGCTTTGCTCGCATTCTAAAAGACCCGATCCAACCTTTGTCATCTTGGAAATACTCCTTCGGCTGCAGGTCATGCATCTGAAGTTCATTGCTGATCATTTTTGCATATATTCATGTATTTCGCATAATGAAAAGCAACTGACGATGAGATGATGCATCAAAGCATATCACTTTCATATCATTTTTAAATGACAGTTTCGATTAATGTCAGCCTTGTCAATTAGCGTAGAAGATCCGGCAGAATTGGAGAAAATATGCACCACAAAATCCGCATGTTTGACATTCTTACTTCCTATCTATTGATCTGTTTCTGATGATAGGCAGCGGAAAAATTCGTGTACAGTTAACCTTAAAATGCGATTTGCGGTTGATACCGAAAGTGTCAGGTTGTCGCACAGTCGGTGCTCATTTCGGCATCTCGCCTTTTTCCGGAACTTTCCTTTTCAAAACACACATAGTGGCTATTCGTTAGTATATTTATAAGTATTTAATAGGGATGAAGAAGTTGACTTTGACACTAAAATATTCGACTGCTCGCTAGATTCAAGAACAATGCGAACGATGTTGCAAAGAAGCATTCGTATCTGATCCACCTAACACATGTTTTTCACAGCAACCGTTTGGGGATACTCGGTAGATAAAATTGCTTCTTGTTATTATTAACAATATTGTTAATTATTGAAGGGAAACAAATGCGAGAAAGAAGTTGAAGAAGTTGCAAGAAATACGCGATCCTTATATAATAAAGCGCAGGGCCCCCCCTGTGACTCATCGTGTCGGTTTGTCGCCGATGACGTCAT